ACAGCTATGGCAGCGCTAGCTGCCACTACCTATCGCTACACTACACTTCTCTGCCCACTTCGTCTTCGGGCACACTACAGACCTCCTCGCACAAGCTGCTAAGGCAGCGCTTCCGCATGGCATCCGCAGGAATGAATGAATGGCTGGACGCAGCCTCTTGATTTATACTTCTGCGCTGCGTTGGTCTGCCCTATATCCCTGGCCCATGGTGCACACAGTCCCCCCCATGGTACTTGTTGGACCGGACTGGTACTTTCTAGACTCTCCCATGACTGCATGGCGACTACCCTACGACGCAGTGCAGTTGCACTGGGGTCCTACTATTTGCCCTTGCCACTTGTCCTCGTCTCCAACATAGGCTTTTGCTTTAGTCACACCACTTGCCCACTTGCCTGCACCACTTAACCACTTGCCAACCTTCTAGAAGGACTGCAGCTAGACTTCTAATCTACAGGTCTACAGATCGAATCCTGGCTACCTATAGACCTACGACAGACCTACTTACCACTGGCGGTTCTACAGGTCGCAGGTTCAATTCTTCGAGTTGACACAGGTATTGTATACAGGTAAGTTGGGGAACTAGGGATCGAGCCCTGGGATCTGCATCAGCTACTTCGAACTGGTGAATACCGTTTCACATGATAAAAAATGACCAAAAAAAAATCCTGCTTTTCTTTATATATTTTTTTTAATTTTGTTTAAATCGATTTTAGTTTTTGATTTTTTTTAAATCTTAAACAAAGTCGGATTCAAAAAAAAAAAAAAAGGAGTGTAGGGTTTTTTTAGCCCTACACGCCCATATATTTTTTTTTTCATGCATTAGAAAAAAAATAAAAATCTTGCACCGAAGTCGGCTGGTCGGCCTAGGCAGAACCCGGCCGATTCGGCCATCGGCCTAGGCCGCGGCCGACTTGGACCCCCCGGCCGCGGCCGGGCATGCAACATAGGCGGTCACCATGCAGCCTGTTGTCTCGCAGCCTGTGCAGCCGCAGGGCACACAGCCCCAGCAGCTAGCACAACAACCTGTGTCACAGGGTCCACAGCCCGCAGTGATACAGGGACTGGGACAAACACAGCGGTTCCAGAGACGGCCATCACCGCTCCGAAACCCTTCACAGGGGACAAGAGAGGCGAAGACCTCGACACATGGTTGAGGGCAGTACCAGTCTATGTCAGGTGTAAGCTTACCTTGCCGCATGAAGAAGTGATTGTGGCTGCTTCCTACCTACAGAGTAGTACAGCGAGATGGTTGAGTGGTTTAGTGCAGCTCAAGGGGTATGGTCATGACTTCCGCGCTTGGGCGGTCACCCAGAAATTGGAGGACTTCCTGAAGATGGTGGAGGAAAGGTGGCATGATCCTCAGGAAGCCCAAAGGGCCACTGACGCGATCCTGACACTGCATACACGGCAGTTTAAGTCAGTAAAGGAAGTCACCAACGTTGTTGAGCGTCTGATCTGTGTCCCAGGGGTGAGCTATGAGCCCCAGGTTTTACTTACCTCGTACCTGAGATGCTTCTCTTTGCCTCTCAGGAACTAGTTGGCAAGTCAGGCCAACATCAATATGCATAACTTTCCTTCGTTCAGCAAGATGGCCCTAGACCTTGAAGAGATAGGGCATGGGCAGGCACCCACTACGGATGGTAGGCAGAAGACACTGCCTCCCAACTGGAAGGCGAAGGACCGCTTAATGTTTGTCGATAACGATGGTTCTACTATCGAGTTAGACGACAACATCCAGGAGGGAGTAGGTTCAGAAGCGGGCAGCGTAGAAGCTTCATGGGGTGGAGTAGTCGCTGTTGTAACTCAGAAAGGTAAGGCGACCTGTAGACGCCGTGGAGGATCCCGGTCTAGGAGTCAGGCTGACCCCAGTGCTCCTCCATGGGAGAAAGCGGGTCTCACAGAGGACGTGTGGAGAGATCGTTATTCACGGCAGGCCAGTATTCGTTGTGGCCAATATGGCCATAACCAGTTCAAGTGCCGCAATAAGAAGGTGACCGATAAGATCCCGCCTACAATGGGGCAGGTGTTGGGGTCCTCCCATCCCGTTGGTAGCAATGTGGCTAGTTCTTCTGGCAGTGCTCCGGGAAACACGTCGGGCGAGTAGGAATAGTAGTTGTTCCTGCTAGGGTCGAGGTGGTGGAGACACCCTCACCATCTCGAAAGATGGCCCAAGCTACTGACTCCAATGCCGTCCCGCAAACACGTTCAGACCCATCGAGTCGTTGTTCGATGAATGTGTTTGAGTCCTTAAAGAAGCTTGAGGTGGAGTGGTCTAGATCAGACCCGCTAGCTTCTTGGACGGCCCTAGTCAAAGCCCCTAAGAGTGAGATGTTCGTCGGCGAGGTTGTCATTGGCGGACGCAAGGCCGGGGCCTATTATGACACTTGCTCGACTAGGAACTTTATCAATCGCACGTGCGTTGAGAGATTGCGCTGACAGGGGCAAGTGCAGCGCCTGAGTCAACTTGTGCCAACAAACAGCGCATGGTAGTCAATGACCACCTCCAAAATGTGGAGTGTTGTTTTCCGTACGTGGGAGGGGAATTGAGACGTCGCGTCTCATTCCTAGTGAGTGACGAGCTCCCAATGGATATGTTACTAGGTATGTACTACCTCTCTGTGGCACAGCCCCAGTTTGACTAGGACCGAAAAGTGGTCAAACACACTTTGCCAGGTGGAGGGACCGCCAGATTACACAAGTTCAAAGCTAGTAGTCTGATTGAGTCCTATGAGTGCATGTGTGCGGCCGCGTCTTACAATTATTATAAGCAAAACTAGGAGGAGGGTATGTACTTATCTGCTTCAGGTGAGTCGGTGAAAATGTCGCCGGAGATAGAGGGAGTGGTTGCCAAGTACCCTGATCTATTTGACGAGCCGACAGGGGTTGTAGAGGGGGAGGTCGTCCACGCGATAAAGATTATCCCAAGTTCTAGTCTCCCAAAGGGTAGGATCTATCGCATGTCTCCATGCGAGCTCGATGAGCTTCGCCGACAACCTTTCAGCACGCTATGAATCAGATATTCCATGACTACTTGGATAAGTTTGTCATCGTGTACCTCGATGTCATACTTATTTTTAGTAAGACTGTCGAGGAGCATGTTGCACATTTGGACAAGGTCCTCAGCCTCCTGCGACAGCACAAGTTCAAGATCAACGGTGAGAAGTGCGAGTTTGGCCACACCCGTGTCTTGTACTTAGGCCATGAAATATCCGTGGAAGGGTTAAAGCCCCATGACGCGAAGGTGGCCAGCATTCATGATTGGCCACGCCCTCAGTCTGTGACTGAGATGAGATCTTTCTTCGAATGACAGGCTACTATAGGACTTTCGTTAAGAACTATAGCATAGTGGCCGCTCCTTTGACTGATCTGGCTCGCCTTGACACCCTATGGGAATGGACAGACGAGTGTGAGGCTGCTTTCAGACATTTGAAGGATGCGTTCACGCACTACAAGGTCTTGAAGCTTCCCGATCCTGACAAACTGTTTATAGTCACCACGGATGCCAGCCAATATGGCATTGGCGTCGTGCTTGCACAGCAGGAGGGGCCAAAGTTGAGGCCTGTAGAGTACATGTCCAAGAAAATGTCGTTTCAGAAGTTGGCTAAGTCCACTTATGAGAAAGAAAGGCTCTGACCCATTGGAGGCACTATCTCCTTGGGAGGTTCTTCATCCCCAGGACTGATCATCAGACCCTGAGATGGATGAGAACTCAGTCGGTACTCTCTAACGCTCTCAAGCATTGGATCGAAGTCATTGAGCAGTATGACTTTGACCCTCAGTATCTGAAAGGGGAGTACAACAAGGTTGTTGATGCCTTGTCGCGTAGACCTGATTTCTCAGGTGCGCTAATTACTGAGTTCGATCTAACGAACAATGTTACTCAGTCCTTGGTGGAAGCCTATCTCGAGGACCAGTTCATGTCTGAGATCATGTGCAGACTGCAGGTGAAGGACAAGAAGACCTCTGCCGAGTCTGAATCGGTCAATGGCTTGTTGTTCCTTGAGAAGGCAAGGAATAAACGATTGTGTGTCCCTAATAGCGAGTCTTTGCGTAGTTTATTTTTAGGTGAGTGTCATGATGCCACCGGCCATTTTGGGTACAAGAAGACCGCAGCTAATCTGCTACAGCGGTTCTGGTGGCCCACGATGATGCGAGATGCCCAGTTGTACGTGGAAACTTGTCAAGTCTGTCAGAGGGACAAGCCACGTACGCAGGCTCTTCGAGATGCCCCTTTCGATTCCGGAACGGCCTAGTGAGAGTTTGTCCATGGACTTCATGGATACTCTGATCACCAGCAAGAGTGGGATGCGACACATCTTCGTCATCGTGGATAAATTTGGTAAGTATGTTAGGTTAGTAGCAATGTCGGAAGCAGCAAGGACGGAGTATGTGATCCGAATGTTCAAGGAGAATTGGGTTAGGGACTTTGGGTTACCGAAGTCTATTATTAGTGACAGGGATGTCCGATTTACCAGCGAACTGTGGAAGGCCGCTGCTGCAGAGCAGGGAACCCAGTTGCAAATGACTTCTGGGAATCACCCAGAGGCCAACGGCCAGGCCGAGCAACTGAACCGCATTGTACAACACCTGTTGAGGCATTACATCAAGCCCAACCAGGTGGACTGGGATGAGAAGCTTGCACTCATCGCCAATCTGTATAACAATGCGGTACACAGTGCCACTGGGGTGAGCCCAAACAGTTTGCTACTGACTTTCATGCCTAGACTACCCTTAGATTTTCTCCTTCCAGAGAATCAGTCGACTGCTGCACCAGGTACGTTAGAGTTCGCTTACCGCTATGACCAAGAGATGCAGCAAGCTGTAGAACAGATTCAAAAGGCACAGCCGGCTATGATAGAATCTGCGAACAAACACCGTCGTGGCTCTTCATTTCAGGTTGGGGACAGAGTCTGGGTTAAATCCTCAGAAGTAGGACAGGAGCACGGGATCTCCCGCAAGCTCATGCCACAGTACTTTGGACCTTGGGAAGTATTAGACATCGTTGGGACAGATCCGGATGGGCAATCTTATGTTATCTGGATCCCTGGTCATCTTCGAACTTACCCTGCCTTTCACGCCTCCAAGCTTGCACCTTTCAAGGAAACAGATGAGTTTCCTTCTCATCGCTCAATGCTGCCCCCAACCATGGATGGATAAGTGGACATCGATGACATCATGGATCACACGGAGCTGCTAGCTCAGAGACCTGCAGGAAGGGGACGTCCTCCGAAACCGAAGTTGCAGTACCACGTTCGGTTCAGACATCATACTGATCCCAAGGAGGACCGTTGGTTCACAAGGGAAGAACTCATGCAGACCGCTCCTCAAGTTGTAGCCCATTATGAGAAATCTCTGCAGAAGGGAAAGCACCCCATGATTGAAGACTGACCTTCTCAAAGGCCTGTTGAAGCTAACGAGGACGGAATGCGAGGCCACTGCCTCTATGAGCCCCATAAGGCCCCATTTTGCAGCCCGTCGGCCGCCCTAAGTGAAGGCAGGCTCGACGAGGCCCTCAGGGCCCTATTCTGGCCACCACGCAACTTAGGGAAATTCAAGCAGTTGCGCAACGCGAGTTGGTCGAGTGAACCCAGGCCCCGGGCCGCCTGTGTGAATGTATGTGAAGCAGGCCTTGGGCTGGATACAGGGACTTGGCCAAACACAGGCCAAAGGCAGTTGGGCACATGCAACCACCTCAGGCCCAAGGCCTGTTCTCGTCGTGCTAGGCCTCAGGCTAATGGGGCCTACTGGAAGCTTCCTGGGACTGGACGCAGGCAGGCCACTACGATATAGCGAAGGACCTGCCTCCGCATTTCTCATTCGGGTGCTGGCTGCATGCTGCACAAGCGCTGCTGCGCTATTTGCTGGTTGGCGCCTACACTCTCACGGGCGAGCAGGGAAGGAGCACGCAGCCGTAGCCGAGCTGCGTTGCTGTAAGCTAGGTGAGGCGCAGGGTGGTCCTTGGGTGCTAGTGGCATCTGTGTGTTGGAGAACGAGGTTGTGAGTGTGGCGAGAGACATACCTGGTGCTGGAAGCGTGCGACACTGGTCGTTGTATGCTCGTACTTGGGGAAAGTTGTTGACGTCATCTTTCAACTTCGTAGTGTAGGCTAGATAGGATCTGTGACATGTAGTCTGGGCGCCGAGCGCCAGATAGGATATCAACTCTGGTTCTTCGTTGATGATGATGGGACTATTTCAGCATTGTCAATTATGAACTCTTGGTGTGTTCTTATTTGGTGAATCTCGTGATGCAATTCTGTTGTTGGTTCGAGGTCACGACTATCTGGACTCATATGTATGATGTTGTTTGATTGTTGAAGTTCGCTATTGCTCATCTTCCTTGCATTGGGTCTTCATCAATGTGTATTCCAATTGTTATCCTCGCAGGTTCTTCTTGTGATTGGTGGTTGGGAGTCTGTCAGAAAGTGAGAAACACTGAGTGTTCTCTCCCCATCTGTGCATGGTTGAACTTTCGCTGCCTACTCTGATCTGTGTGCAGTGTGGACTCTGTCTCCTCTCCCCCTGCTCTTATGCATGTATGGGCGTGTATGAAACTGTTTGTGTGTGAGTGACGGTAAAAATCGTCAAACAACCAAGTTCATAACAGTTGGTATCAGAGCAGGATTGGAATTGGAGCACTGAGGGTTGAGTGCAACTGGGGCATCTTCTTCATCTGGCGATATACTGGCGAGAGGTTCATGGCGATTCATCTTCCCTAACACTGAGTCAGCAAGGAAGAGGATTTCAAGTGGCGAAATTCAAGAGTTTGGTGCTTGTACTGAGCAATCTCACTGAGCCTGTCAGAGCGCTTGCAGGGAAGTGGCGAGAACAGGGCTAATTCGCCATACCCAACCCTGAGGGTAGTATTGCTAATTACCCCAGAGTGGCGAATTACCCCTGAGGACTTCAGGGATCACTGAGCTGCTTCATCCCTGAGCAGCGTTGAGGGAGATTGACAGTCAGTGTCAATCTCGGGTGAAAATAACCCCGTCTGGGTTATTTATAGCATCAGCGGATCTCAGGTCTTGTGGCGAGAATTTTTATCAGTTGGCGTTTTGGGTGCCACAGGGTCAGATTCAGGGAATCTGACAGCAAGGGTTGCAGCGCCTCATGATCCTGAAGAGGATCAACAAGTTTGGAGGAGTTTTGTGCGTGGGACAAAGAGGAGGAAGCTCTGGAGGGAACTGGCGAGATGAGGGTTTCAGTCTGCCATAGCCAGATCTTCACCCAACTCTACAAGAAACTTTGCAAGTGAGTCCGTTCCATGCACCTACCTGTATGGCGATTCGGATAGGATTAGATTAGTCAGTAATTATGGTTTATTTGTCTGTCAGTGACTGGATGTGAAAATCGCAGATTGCATGACAGCCGTGGCCATCTTTCCCCTACCTTTCTCTGCTCATTTCTAACCCTATGTTGACTCTTTTGCATCCAAAATTGTTATGTGATTGCCTTACCGTATTGCGCTTGATTTGGGATGCTAAGACTGTGAATTCCGCACTGGAAAAGTAGTGATACTGTGAATTGCAGTTTTGCACTAAGTCTCATTATAGCCTGTGCTACTTAGGGTCAGTCATAACTTCAATTCTGTCCGTCAGAATTCAATTTTGTTAGTTGTCAGTCAATCGCAATCCAAAATTAGGCAATACTGCAGAAGCGCTTAATTGGATTTGCAGTATTCCATTGGGAACAGTGAATACTGTACTTCGCCATACCCTAGGGTATGGCCACCAGAGTCATCAAGGCCGAAATTGGAGTTTGAGTAAGGATTCAGGGTTTCTTACTAAATCGCTCTGCTTGTTTGATCATTCTAGTCTGTACTTGCCATGTTCTATCATTCCCACTGAATACTTTTGTTTTCTAGTGGGCTATGGAAATCTAATGTTTCTCTGAAAGAGTAGTGGACTGTGTCTACTAACTCCAGTGTGGTGCAGGGTCAGTAAAAGGAAATCGTGTGAATGATTTTGCTGGACTAACTGTCTGTCTGACACCTGACCCCAGTGAACCGTTCCAACCCAAACTGCTTGTTGCCCACACACCCACGTACCTCTGTGTCTGAGACAACAGCGATTTCTGAGTGTCTGCAGGAAAATGAAAATTGCTGCATACTCCGCTGCCTGTCCTTTATTTATTGTTGTTCTGAAAGTGGAAAATGCCGGATCAGGGTGCTCAGCAGCAGCCACAGGTGGAAGTGGTGATGAAGGTGGAAGGACCACAACCTTCTACCTCCACCCCTACTACTCCTCTGACTGCTACTCGGCAGAAGGAGGAGTTAAAAGAAACACTGCAGCAGGAGCAGGCCCTGCTAGCAGAACTTGAGCGGCAGGAAGCAGCTGAGCTAGAGGCTGCAACAGATACTTCCGGAATGGAGTACCTGTTGGAGCAGCTAAACAAGGTCCTGACAGATGACCGTTGCTCCCAAGTGAATAAGAACTTAGCAATAGGCTCTTCTGGAGCACAAGGACACCAGTTCTTATTTCACTAACTGGGACGACCGCATCGGCCGTCTGGAGCGCAGAGTGGATGACCTGGCAGCTCAGCAGTCCAAGATACTGAAAGCAATTCAGGATCTCCTCAGCTGTCAACAGCCAAACTGATTGCTCCCCACCTCGTTGCAGCCCAAAGCTTCTTCTCCTCCTTCAACCCCTTCTGGATCACGCCATTCTTCCCCTTCACCACCTCCTTCCCAAAAAGCCACAGCCCAGCCATCGTATGCAGGTGTTGCTGCAGGAGACCAGAGAGGTCCCAAGATCCCATCTCCCAACAAGATCAGAGGGGATGACCCAAAGATGATGTTGGGGACTGGGCTGCTGGGACCAAAGCCTACTTGAGGGGCTTTGTCTGTGCAGAGCAGACTAAGGTGGCCACGATTCTGGGACTGCCGGAGGGACCCGCTTTGAAGTGGGTCACCTCAACCTCCAGCAGTCAGCAGCAGTCTATGGAGGACTGGGCTTTTGGGCTGGGGGTGGACAGACTTCTGCAGGCCCTAGAGGACCGCTTTGCAAACAAGGAGCGGGCCCGCAAAGCTGCTGACAAGATTACTCGCTTGGGGCAGCAACGTTACAGCGGTACCCTGCGATCCTTGTTTGCAGAGTTCGAACAGCTTACCTCTACCCCTGGGTTGGTCATGTCTACTGATGATCTGCTGACCAACTTCTGCAGGGCTGCGCCTGAGAAGTTTGTTGTTGCACTGTACAGCGCTGGGCACAAAGACTGGAGATCCTTTGGCCGCGCAGCCCTGGACATGGAGGCAAAACTTCATGTCCAGGCCCCCTCCTCTGACAGGAGGAAAGGTGCCTTCCCTCGTGGTGGTAGAAAGGGAAAGGCAGCCTTTGCACATGCAGACTCTGCGTCAGCTTCTTATTCAGATTCCCAAGCTGATACACCATCAGCTGGGACTGGATCCGCAGCTGAAACAGATGTTGCAGCGGCCCTGACTCAGGCTGTTCTGGGAGTTCTGCAGCAGCAGAAGAGATTCTCCTCCACCACAGCCTCAGCCAGTGCAAAGGGGAAGACAAGGGACGTCGGCCTTCCTCCTTCCAACACCCTAATCTGCCACTCCATTCTCCCCTGGCATGACCTCAAGATCCAGGAGAGAGTGTGGAGAAGAAGAAAGGAAAGAGGGGTCTGCCTGAGGTGTGAGGGTCAGCACTGCTTGAAGGACTGCCCTTACATGCCAGGCCCAAGACAGTCAAAAAACTGAAGCAGACCCTGGGGACTGCAGTTCCCCCCAGTGCTGCACTTCCATCTGTTGATGTAGGTGGATCTGCAACTGCTTCAGTTGAGACAGAATGTGATTGTTTGGGGACTGCACGGGCAGCATCCTTTTCCTATGAGAATCCTAACCCGGAGCAGGACCCGGGGCAGGATGAGCTTCAGTCATTTGCTGCTTTCTTCCTTCACCTGAAGGAATAGAAGAAGAGCAAAACTGATCTCATCCTACTTTGGCCTCTGATCAACCACATCAGGATCTAAGGGCTATTGGATTGTGGAGTCACCAGGAACATCATATCTCCCAGTGCTGTTAAGAAACTGCATCTGGGTATAAAAGTTCAGCAGCTACAGCAACCTCTGCTGGTCAGGATAGGTGACTCCAAAGTGCTCACTATAAGGGAGAAAGTGAGAGGTATCCCTGTGACTTTCGATACTGCTGGGAAAGTCAGACATAGTCTGAACTTCTACATATTCCATGATCTACCCTTTGACCTGGTGTTCTCTATGTAGTGGTTGAAGGCAGTCAACCCTAGGATCGACTGGCAGATTCCTAGAGTTGAACTACCAAATAGCCAGGGGGTGCATCAGCCATGCACGATTGCTGTTGATCATCACCCTAAGACTTTTTGCTACTGCCTGAGAGCGAGGGAGTTCTATTCTCTCTCGCGCCAGTACGACCATGCGCGTTTGTTCATAGCTCTAGTCAAGCAGACTGGTGCTCCTCATGTTTCTTGTCCTCCTGAGATACATCAGGTTGTGGACCAGTATGCGGATCTGATGCAGGAGCCCTTTGGGTTACCCAACCGGCCAACCAAGCATCGCATGGAGCTATTACCTGGACCAGTCCCTCCTAAGGGTCGCATCTACAGGATGTCCCCTGCTGAGCTTGAGGAGTTCAGAAAGCAGCTTGAGACCCTGACCATCAAAGGCTCGATACGGCCGAGCACTTCTGAATTTGGGGCACCAGTCCTCTTCGTCCCGAAAGGGAATGGAGAATTCAAAATGTGCATCGACTACAGAGGTCTCAACAAGATCACTAGGAAGAGTACAGAGCCACTTCCTAGGCTCGATGACCTGCTGGATATGGTGCAGGGTTGTACAGTGTTCACCAAAGTCGACCTCAAATCTGGGTACCACCAGATTGAGATGGCTGACGAAGATGTCTATAAGACAGCCTCCAAAACCAGGTACAGTACTTACGAGTTCTTGGTCATACCATTTGGACTTTACAATGTCCCAGGTACCTTCCACACAGAGATGCACCGCATCTTCAGGCCTTCCCTGGACAAGTTCATGGTTGTCTACCTGGATGACATCCTGGTATTCAGCAGAATTGCCAAGGAACATGAGGAGCACCTGACTCTTGTCCTTCAGTCATTACATGACAGCCAGTATAAGATTAACAGAGAGAAGTCTTCTTTTGGAGTTCCCTCTGCCATTATCTGGGTCATGTAATCTTTGGAGATGGCCTGGCTCCTGAAGCAACCAAGATAGTTGCTATTCAGGAGTGGCCACAACCACAGACAGTGAGGGATGTCAGGTCTTTCATGGGTTTAGCCTCATAATACAGAAAGTTTGTCAGGAACTTCTCTGCAATAGCTGCATCCCTGACCAACCTAACAAAGAAAGACACTCCTTTTCTTTGCTCCCTCCACTGTCAGTTGGCCTTCACACGACTCAAGAAGACCTTGACTTGTGCACCAGTGCTGAATTTGTCTGAACCCAATTTGCCATTTATTCTTACCACTGACGCTAGTCAGTATGGCATTGGGGCAGTTCTTCAGCAGAATGATGGGAATGGTCTACGGCCTGTAGAGTTCATGAGTAAGAAGATTAAACTCAAAACCTCCAGGACTCCACCTACGAGAAAGAACTATATACTCTTGTTTGTGCCCTGAAACATTGGAAGCACTTTCTCCTGGGAAGACACTTCAAGATCTTCTCAGATCACTCCACCTTACAGTGGATGAAGTCCCAGGGAGAGTTGAATGATAAGCTGGCACGATACATTCAGTTCATAGACATGTTTAACTTTGAACTGAAACACAAGACAGGTTGCTACAACAAAGTAGCAGATGCCCTCTCTCGTAGGCCTGACTCTTTTGCATTAATCTCCTCCACTCACTCCTTTCGAGAGGAGACCCGTCAGACCATTGCTCGTCTTCTGCTTCAGGACCCGACTTTTGGGCCCGTAGTCAGGAATCTGCAAGCGGATCCCAACTCTGCCCCCGGCTATGCCCTGAGTTCGGACTTGTTGTACACCTACAGCAGAGGTGAGGAACGCTTGTGTATTCCCCAAGATCAGCGGCTCAGGACACGGCTGATGTCAGAGTGTCATGATGCTCGCGGACACTTTGCGTTTTTAAAGTTGAACAGCCCTGTCGTAACGCTTCTTCTGGAAGGAGATGCGAAGTGATATGCTGCATTATGTAAAAACTTGTGAGCTCTGCCAGAGGAATAAGGTCCAGCGGAGGCCTCCTTTGGGACTGCTCAAACCCTTACCCATACCTGATGGCCCTGCTGAATCTGTGTCGATAGACTTCACAGATTCAGGCAAGACCACCCCTCGTGGCATGTGTCACGTTATGGTCTGCGTGGACAGGTTCTCCAAATACGCAGAGTTCATCCCCTGGCCAGAAGTGAAAGTTCCGGTTGTGAGAACAGCCTTTTCAGAGAGGTGGGTCACGCAGCATGGACTGCCCACTTCTTTAGTCAGTGATAGAGACCCCCGATTTTGCATCGATAAGTGGCAGTCCTATTGTAGGGGCTACCTACATTCACGATTGGACATGACCTCGTGTCATCATCCTGAAGCCAATGGTCAGGCTGAAGTGATGAACCAAGTCTTATTCAAATTCCTGCGTCCTGTCATCTCTCCAGATCAGCAAGACTGGGATCTCCACTTGGCTCGGGCACAACTTGTTTATAACATGTCTGTCCACTTCTCGACTGGGTTCAGTCCATACCGGTTGCACTGGGGACGTGAACCACGTCAGCCTGTCGATGATATCATCGATAAGGCTAAGTCAGACCTGACACCAGGCACTGCAGAGTTCACCAGACGCTACCGCATAGATGTGGAAAGAGCACGGGCGAACTTGTTCAAAGCCCAAAAGGCAACAAGCTAACCGCCACAGGCGGCCTTTCCCCATTCGCACTGGTGATTATGTATGGGTGGCCAGTTCTGAGTTGTCGAGGGAGGAGGATATCTCCCCCAAGCTGTTGCCTCGTTATCTGGGTCCATGGCAGGTCTTAGATACAGTAGGGGCCGACTCCTTTTGGCCCGTCTTATGTCATCAACGTCTCGCTGCACCTACAGACCTACCCGGTCTTTCATGCATCCAAGTTGTTGTCGTTTACCCCAGCTGATGCATTCCCTGACCGGCCCCCTCAGTTTGGTCCACCGATTCCTTGTAAGGGATATGATGTGGAATGGATTGAGGATGAGTGCGGCACAGGCCCCGATCGGCAGTATCTTGTGAGGTTCGCGCTCCAGCCTCCTTCTGAGAACAGATGATTCTACAGAAATGAACTTTTCAAAACAACAAAGTAAAAAAAAAACAAAAAAAAACAGAAAGTTTGTCAGGAACTTTTCTGCAGTGGCTGCACCCTGTCAGTTGGCCTTTACACGACTCAAGAAGGCCTTGACTCGTGCACCAGTGTTGAAGTTGCCTGACCCCGCATTGCCATTCATCCTGACCACTGACGCCAATCAGTATGGCATTGGGGCAGTTCTTCAGCAAGATGATGGGAATGGTCTACGGCCTGTAGAGTTCGTGAGCAAGAAGATCAAGACTCAAAAGCTTCAGGACTTTACCTACGAGAAGGAGCTATATTCTTGTCTGTGCCTTAAAGCATTGGAAACACTTTCTCCTGGGAAGACACTTCAAGATCTTCTCTAATCATTCCACCTTAAAGTGGATGACATTCCAGGGAGAGTTGAATGACAAAATGGCACGCTATATTCAGTTCATTGACATGTTTGACTTTCAACTGAAACATAAGAAGGGTTGTTACAATAAGGTAGCAGATGCCTTCTCTCGTAGGCCTGACTCTTTTGCACTGATCTCCTCCACTCACTCGTTTGGAAAAGAGACCCGTCAGACCATTGCTCATATACTGCCTCAGGACCCGACTTCTGGACCCATAGCCAGGAATTTGCAAGCAAATCCCAATTCTAAACCCGCCTACGCCCTGAGTTCGGACTTGCTGTATACCTACAGCAGAGGTGAGGAACGCTTGTGCATTCCCCAGGACCAGCGACTTAGGACACTGCTGATGTCAGAGTGTCATGATGCACGTGGACATTTTGGGTTCTTAAAGTCATATGCTGCCCTGTCGCAGCGCTTCTTCTGGAAGGAGATGCGGAGTACTCTGCTGCACTATGTCGAAACCTGTGAGCTCTGCCAGAGGAATAAGATCCAGCGTAGACCTTCTCTGGGACTGCTCAAACCCTTACCCATACCTGATGGTCCTGCTGAATCTGTGTCTATTGACTTCATAGATCTAGGCAAGACCACCCCTCGTGGCATGCGTCAGGTAATGGTCTGTGTGGACAGGTTCTCTAAGTACGCAGAGTTCATCCCCTTGCCAAAAGTAGCTAGGATCCCTGCTATGAGAGCAGCGTTTTCAAAGAGGTGGGTTACTCACCATGGATCGCCCACTTCTATAGTCAGTGATCGAGATCCACGATTCTGCAGCAATGAGTGGCAATCCTACTGTAAGGATTACCTACACTCACGACAGGACATAACTTTTGGTCATCATCCTGAAGCCAATGGTCAGGCTGAAGTAATGAACCAGGTCCTATTCCAACTGCTGCGTCCTGTCATCTCCCCGGATCAACAGGACTAGGATCTCCACTTGGCTCGTGCACAGCTTGTCTATAACACGTCTATCCACTCCTCCACTGGATTCAGCCCATACCGTTTGCACTGGGGACGTGAACCACGACAACCTCTCGATGATATCATTGATAAGGCTAAGTCTAATCTGACACCACGCACCGCAAAGTTTGTCAGACGCTAGCGCATAGATGTGGAAAGAGCACGGGTGAACTTGTTCAAAGCTCAAAAGGCTATGATTGAACAAGCTAATCGCCATAGGCAGCCTTCCCCCATCCGTACTGGTGACTATGTCTAGGTGGCCAGTTCTGAGTTGTCGAGGGAGGAGGATATCTCCCCCAAGCTGTTGCCTCGTTATTTGGGTCCATGGCAGGTCTTAGATACAGTGGGTTCTGATCCATTTGGGTCGTCATACGTCATCGACGTTCCACTGCATCTATAGACCTATCTGGTCTTTCATGCATCCAAGCTGCTCCCCTTCACCGCAGCTGATGCGTTCCCAGACCTGCCTCCTCAGTTTGGTCCACCGATCCCTGGCAAGGGATATGACGTGGAGTCCACTAAGGACGAGTGGGGCACTGGCCCGGTCCGACAATATCTTGTGAGGTTCTGCTTCCAGCCTCATACTGAGGACAGATGGTTTACCCGGAAGGAACTTCTCAAGACAGCAGAGTATGTAGTTTTACGTTACGAGGCGGCCAAGAAGGGAAACCTTCCTCTGCGATCTCCTCGTTTACACCCCTTGCTCAGAGGTCCTCACTCCCCGGGGGGGTAAGTCTGCAATGGCTTGCTGATTTCTACTATCGAGATCTGACTGCGAGGTTGTACAGTCGCGTCTTAGGGTCAAATTCGTAATTTTATTTGTGGCAAGGACTAACCGCCAATTTAATCTTCAGAGAAATTTGTGAGGGATATATCTACAATATCTGGGAAAATTGCAGACCCTACTTCCCCTTAGCCGTTATCACCCTTAGCAGACCCGGGCTATCACTGGGACAGCAGGCCCATCCAGGCCCTGGGCTGTAGAGACGAAATAGGTGCCGTATAGCCAGGTAGGGCCCAGGCCGAACAGGCCAAACTGATGCGGTACCGGTCCAGTAGGTCTAGGTCTAGAGTAGGCTAGTCTATTAATAGGACTGAGCCGATAGGTTAGGGACTTTTGGCTTTTCATTTTTCGCTATGCAGGTTGTGAGCCAAGCAAGTTTGGTGGTGGTGATTGTCTCCAAGCGGCATCCTGAGACCCTCATCATGGACGGCAGCCATAGCCAGCGTGTCGGAGTTTGCCATAGTTGGGGCACCCTCTGAGCATCTACCCCTGGGGATATCTACGATTGGCTGGGTTGCTCGGAGGCTCTTCACTGAGCGTATGTGGGTGGACCACTTCACTCCTCAGAGGTTGTCAGGGCCTCGTCAGTGGTGTGGCAGCCACAGCTGCCATCTTCTTTGTCAGAGTTACTCGTCGGCACTGAAGACTTCATCCTGATTCATGTTCTTCATCTGGATGGTTGGTGCTGGCCTCTGAGAGGCAGATTCAGTGTTGCGCTACTAACTGGGTGCAGGGTAGAGAGTAGGGTGTGGTGTTCTGAGAGTGGCGAGATACTGGGATAAACTCTGTAACGATTATTGGTTTGAGTTGGCTCTTCATCAG